GCTCCGGTCCCCAGAACGTCCCCACTGAGATGGACTGTACCCTTGAACTGTGAGCCAGAATAAGCGCTTTCTCCCTTAAGTTGCTTTAGCCCATTTCGTTGGTGGTGGTGGTGTGTGTGTGTTTAGTCACAGCAACAGAAAAGAACTGATGCAGTAAGTTTCTATTTGAAAGTTATCCTTGGAACACAAACAGTGTTTAACCTGTGTGCATAACCCATGAACCAGCAGCACCTTTCAGATGATGAGTGAACCCTCCATCCCTGAGTTGCCTCCTCTAATCTGTCCTTCCTTCTTCCTACCTTTCCTGTTTCTAGACAACCATTGATTTGCTTTCTATTTTTAGAATAGTTTGCATCTTTAAAAGAAGTTTATGTAAGTGTGTAAAGCCAGCCAGCTACGTTCCTTCCCCCCCCCCCCCCCCCCCGTTCCTTTCCCTTGGTTTCTTTCATTCAATTGTACCTTCTCCTTCTCCTCCTCCTTCTTCAGTAAGGATCTCATTTTGCCCCAGCTGGCCTTCAACTAACCATGCAGCCAAGGACAGCCTTACATTCATATGCAATCCTCTTGCCTGCACTTCTTTTATTTTATTTATGTATTTATTATTTTTATCATTATCAGCAGCAGCAGCAGTAGAAGTATGTGTGTGTGTTTGTGTGTGTTGTGTGTGTGTGTTGTGTGTGTGTGTGTGTTGTGTGTGTCTCAGGTCTCTAGGTTTATACGACCTTTACCCACTGAACCATCCTGCCAGCCTCCTGCCTGTACCTCTTGAGTGCTGGGATTACAGATGTGCACCACAGAAATTGGCCTCATTCTTTATTTTAGTGTATGTGTATGAGTGTTTGTCTGCATGTATGCCTGTGTACCATGTGCATAACTGTCACCTTTGGAGGCCAGAAGGGAGTGTTGGAGCCCTGGGAACTGGTGTGAGCTGCCATGTGAGTGCTAGCCATCTCTCCAGCCCCTCTTTCTTTTCTTACTGAAATATTCCATGTGTTCATAATTAATTTTGGCTAGTGAACATTTTATTTGCTCATAGCTTAAGGACTACTCAGAATGATACTATTGGGACTGGAGAGACAGCTCAGTGGTTAAAAGCACTGGCTGCCCTCCTAAAGAACCTGGGTTTGATACCCAAAATGGCAGCTCCGGTCCCAGGGGATTTGTTGACCTCTTTGGGCCTCTACCATCACTGCACACACATGTATACACACATGCAGCCAAAACACCCACACACATAAAATAAAGGTTAACATGCATTGTAAAGATAAATAAAAACAATACAGTTCTCAATATTTATGTATGTTTTGTATGAAGATGTGTTTTCCTTTTTCTTGGGTAAACGTCTATGAATAAAATGCTACAGGTAGTTCAGGTTGGCCTCAGATTCATAATCCCCTACTTCAGATTCCTGAATATTAGGACTATAGGCATGAATTACCATATCCAACTGATATTGTTCAACTTTTTAAGAAACAACCTGGTTGGCAGTGGTGGCACACACCTTTAATCCCAGCACTCTGGAGTAGACAGGCAAATCTCTGTGAGTGCGAGGCCAGCCTGGTCTACAAAGTGAGTTCCAGGACAGTCTCCAAAACAATACAGAGAAATCTTGTATGGAACTCTCCCCCCCCCCCAAAAAAAAAAGAAACAGCCAAATTATTTTTCAAGGTACCCAAATCATTTCCCCTGCCTACCAATGTGTCACAATAACTTTTCCTGAGGAGATGAAGGAGCGCCATAAACACAGTTCACCAGGTGGAATAAATAAACAATTCCTCCCAAGCCAGCTTGATGAAGCAATGGCTTTAATTAGGGTCGCTTGCAAAAGCATGGGTTAAGGGCTACTTAAAGGAACAGGCAATTTATGGCCTATACACAACCAAGAGCCCTCCATCAAGCAACTGTGAACTCCTCATGCATCCTTAGGGAGAGGCGGAGTCTTGTGTGCTACCTTATGAGTTTTGTGTCCCCTACAAGGGAACATTGGTAGGCTCAGTCTTCTGAGGGTCTCCATGCAAGTGTTCACAGTTGCTCTGATATCAAGATGGAGGCAGCCATGTCATGCCTAGAAGACAGAGTCCCACAACAATAAGATTGCTAGCTGTTCTACACTTGAACCAATACTAAGTATAGCCTTATTATTAATTTTGCTTTGTGAGTACTTGTTGGTGCTGGAGATCAAACCCGGAGCCTCCAGTCACATGCTCTTCTATTGAGTAACTTCCATAGCTTAGTCTTTCTAATTTCAGACAGCTAAGACTGTATTTCATTGTGCTGATCTGATCAGTAATGATGCTTAGAAAATTCTGGGTGGGCTAGGGCTCTAACCAAGCTAGGCAAATGCTCTAACACTGAGCTATACCACAGCCCTTGTTCTGTTTCCAGGGTTTCATTTATGTAGCCTATGCTGCTCTGGAATTCATTACGTAGTTTAGGCCGGCTTCCTCAATACTAGGGTGACAGGAATGTGCAGCTCTTGATTTATTTGAGACATAGTGTTGCTGTGTGGCCCAAACTGGTTTCATTTCTGGAATTACCTGTCTGGAATTACAGGTTATGCCATCACATACATCACCATTTTTAACTTAAATTATTTACTTATAATATATATGCATACATATATGATGTAATATATGGGCATGTGTGCTGGTTGGTTTTTTGTCAACTAGGAAACATTAGCTGAGATTTGCCTGTAGGCAAGTCTATGGGGGTATTTTCTTAATTAATTATTGATTAATTAAGTGGAGAGCCCAGCCCACTCCGGACAGTGCCATTGATGGACAGGTGATTGTGGATGGTATAAGAAAGCAGGCTGAGGGCTGGAGAGATGGTTCATTGGTTAAGAGCACTGGCTGCTCTTTCAGAAGACCAGGGTTCAATTCCCAGCACCCACAGGCAGCTCATAACTGCCTGTAACTCTAGTTCCAGGGAATCTGACATCTTCACACAGATATACATGGAGGCAAAACATGAATGCATGAAATAAAAGTAAATTGTTAAAAAAAAAAAAAAAGAAAGAAAGAAAGAAAGAGAGAAAGCAGGCTGAGCCAGGTGGTGGTGGCACATGCTTTTAATCCCCAGTAATAGGGAGGCAGAAGCAGGCAGATCTCTATGACTTCAAAGCCAGCCTGGGCTATTGAGTGAATTTGGCTTTCCTGGTCTACTGAATGAGTTCCATGACACTCAAGCCTACACAGAGAGAAATCCTGCCTAAAAAAAAAAAAAAAAAAAAAAAAAAAAAAAAAAAAAGAAAAAGAAAAGAAAAGAAAGAAAGAAAAGCCCCCCAAAAGAAAGAAAGAAAGCAGGTTGAACAAGCCAGTAAGAATTGCTTCCTCATGGCTCTGCTTCAGTTCCTGCCTCCACGTCTTGGGTTTCTGTCTTGTCCTCCCTTAGATGAGGCACTGTAAGCCAAATAAACCCTTGCCTCCCCAAGTTACTTTTTGATCATGTATTTATGTCAGCAATAGAAATCAACCTGAACTGGTAGCACTCGCCTTTGATCCCATCACCTGGGATGCAGAGGCAGTTACAGAGATACCCTGTCTTGAAACCCCACCCCCCAAAAAGAAAGAGATCAAACTGGACACTATACTTGCCATAGCCTGTGTGTAGAGATCAGAGAACAACTTTGTGGAATTGGGTTTCTTCTTTCCCTTTTACATGGGTTCTAAGATCAAACTCTGGCTATGTGACCTAGCAGCAAGCACTTCTAACTGCTGAGCCATCTCACCAGCCCTCAGTTGTCCTCTTACTAGGTTCTGAGAATAACACACAAGCGCGCGCGCACACACACACACAAACACACTCACACATATACACATAAAAAGAAAATCTGCCAAATTCAAGATCATAAATATTGTCTTATACACATTTTCTCATCTCTGACATACTTTTTAGGTTTTGAGTCTACTTTTATCAATAGATTAACAATTTGTGAAGAACTCAAGTCAGTCACTATGTTTCCCAGGTTAGTCTCAAACTAATGGTCTCAACAGATCCTTCTGCCTTCTGAGTAGCTCAAACTAAAAATGTATGCCCTCACATCTGACTTGAGTCCATTTACTTATGCATTTTAAGTCTTCAAACTTTATTTTTAATTTATACTATGTACACGGATATTTTGCCTGTTTGTGTGTCTGTGTTCCACGTGTGTGTCTGGTACCCACAGAAGCCAGAATAGGGTACAAAATGCCCTAAAACTGGTGTTATGGATGGTTGTGAGCTGCCATGTGGGTGCTGGGAATTGGATCTGGGTCCTTTGCAAGAGCAGTCAGTGCTCTTAACTGCTGAACCATCTCTCCAAACTCAAGTCCTGTGTGTGTGTGTGTGTGTGTGTGTGTGTGTGTGCGCGCGCGCATGCGTGCATGCCCATGTGTGCGTGCGTGTGTGTGTGTGTGTGTGTGTGTGTGTGTGTTTAAGACAGTGTCTCATGTAGTCCAGGCTGGCTTCAGACTCATCATGTCATTGAGGGCATCAGAATGTCCTTCCATAGCAGGTGGATCTAAACTGACTCCTTGGAGATCATAAGCCAAAACCAACATTCTCTCTCTTAAATTGTTTCTGTCAGGTTTTTTGGCCACAATGGCAAAAAGCTGACTAAAATATACAAAATCTAACTAATACACAGCATCAGTTAAAGGCTAAAATAAGACAGGAATCCCTGATTTTAAAATCACTCTACTATATCAATAGTTTTCTCTACAACTTTGTTAAAAAAAAATTTTTTTTTTTTTAAAACAGGGTTCTGACTGTCTAGGAACTCACAATGTAGACCAGGCTGGCCTCTGCCTCCCAAGTGCTGGATTAAATGCCACTCTGCCCAGCGTAAGATTTATTAAAAGGGAGAGCATTGTATTAGCTCCTTGAAACCAAAGTTACAGGAACTTCTTTGGCCTGCCTGGCACGGCTTTCTCCAACTCTTTTTTTTTTTTTTTCAGTCTTTGCAGTATCTGTTCCTGCCAGTCCCCAGTGACCCTCACTACAGGTAAGAGCTGCACTAGATGAGAGGCGACTTCAGAGTCTGTTTCCCAGGGTTGCTGCCCCACAGTCTGCGACCTTCAGTGCTGTGCTTCTGGGAGCCAAGAAGGACCCAGATCACTGTCTATGAGAGTGCTGTGTCTAACAGCATGGCTGGAAGACCAGAGAAGGGTTTGTCTTTGATAGGATTCACTCTCCTCTGCCTGAAGACGGTGAGTCTGCCTTTTCAATTACCTACAACTAGTTCTGGGGAAAAGATACCCATGTGTTATCTTTCTCTTTTTATGAAGGGCTGAGGAGTAGGGAGATGTAACTAGAAATACCTTAAAATCATGCGAAGACAGTACGGTTTTGTGTTTAAGATGTAACGTGCTTCACTAAGGAAAGGAGACAAGGTTATTGTGTGAGAAGAACAAAGACTCCTGGGTGGGGGGGGGGGGGGGGAATCTGTCATCAGCTTCTGACTTAGGTCCATAGACAGATTCAAGGGAAAAATGAAATGGTAACACAGTCTAGTAGTAGGCAGCCTGAGTCCTTTTCAGCGTTCTTTAGCATAGATTCCAGTGCTAGGAAATGAGACAAGCACTCACATGAACTGGGAAGTTACTGTGACAGAAACGTTGTGATTACTTTGTCCTGTTGATGTGTTTGTTTCTTTTCCCCAAATGCTGTTTTTCCTCATTCTTCTAATAACTGTCTAACTTTTCCCTTTCAGGTTATTTCATCCAAAACAGGTAACAATTTCTGACATGCAAGTTTTCCCTTCTTATATTTGATTTTAATTTCCACTGCTGATTGATCTAGTCACATCTATAAAGACTATCCCGGAGGGTGGGTAGCAACATTTTTCTGAGCACACATAGTGGGTGCTAAGGTCATGTAAAAAATGCCAGAGAGTCCATAGTTAGTAAGACAAATTGACTGGATCATATTTATGAAATTAGTCCTTTGAAGGTGAAACTAGTGAAAACTATAATACAATGCCATTTTTTCCATCCAGTTAGCTGTAGACAATCATTCCAGTCAAAAATTAAAATTGCACCACAACAATCTACTTATATAACTTTCCTACTTGTCTTTTGGAACATTAGAAGAAAAAAACATAAATGCTGTATTAAATTATACTTTCAAAATCTTCCACCAAGTAAAAACAAAGAAAAAAAAAAACTTTTGTTTCCGGTATGTTGGTGCACACCTGTAATTCCAGAACTTGGAGGGTTCCAGAACTTTAGCTACATAGTAACTTGGGGGCAAGCCTGGGGTGAAGGAGATCCTGTCTCAAAAAAGCAAAACACTAAAAGCAAACCAGAGAGAGAGATTGGAGAGCTTTGTACATCTAGCCTTATGCTGAGGTCGACACAGTAATACAAGGATTCAGAAATGCAAAGAGGCGTCCCTATTTAAAAAAGATTTCAATCGCCATTTTTTTCTTGAATAAATGACTGGAGGCCACAATAATATTTCTAGAAATTTTTTCTGCCTCATAATCTAGAAATCTTAAGTCAATAGGATAGCAATTTATGTTGAATAGGCTTTAGATTATCTGCAAAAACCATATACAATCAACTCTGTTAGAGATAAATTCTCAGAGTGATTTAATACACACTGGAACAACTTATTAAATGCCAACATCATTAAAAAATGAAGTAGAAATAAGAATGTTTACATTAAGTATATGGTTGCATTTTAATATTTTATAAAATCCATATATATCCAGTTGTGGCTTTTGTTTTTTGTTTTTATTATTATTATTCTGTGTCTCCAGACAGGATCTCTCTGGGTAGTTTTGGCTGTCCTGGAACTCAGGCTGGCCTCCTGCTTCTGCCTCCCTAGTGCTAGGATTAAAGGCATGTGCCACCAGATCCAACTATAAAGTTGGCTTTTAAAAATAATTTCCTGCTTTATTCTTACTAATGATTTTTAAACACTTAAAATTTGTTTATGTGCATGGGTGTGTTTTCTTCATGTATGTCCGCGTGTTACACACATACATGGTGCCTGAAGAAACTAGAAGAAAATGTTGGATGCCCTGGGCTGGAGTCACAGATGGTTGTAAAATACCATGTGAGTACCAGGGATTGAACCTGAGTCCTCTGACAAAGTGCTCTAACTGCTGAGCCAGCTTTCCAGCCCATCAGAGTTATGTTACTCTTGAGAGACTTTTGTGATTATCCAGGAAGTTATGAGAAAGACCGTTAAACCACATTCCTAATGATTTCTAATTTTTTTTTTACTGTTTGTTTTATTTATTTCACTTGAGATGAGTCCTTAGGTTGACCAGCCTGGTTTTGCCTGCTTAAGCAATTCTGCCTCAATCACCTGAGAAGCCAGCCTTATATGCACACACTAATCTGTTTGGTTTATAAGTGATTAAAAAAATAAATAGCTGCCCTTTGTTTAGCAAGCTTCACTGTGTCCTACAAAGTCCCAGGGAACCCAGGACCCATTGAGACCTTTTCTTTTCCTTCCAACATGACCCACCCCATTGGAGAGAAATCAGGAGGGCCAGATTTCAATGCCAGTGATGCTGTTAATAGATTCATCTTGGTTTTTCAATAGATGGACTGTGTCTGATTTGTACTGTGTAAAAGGCTTCATCTTGGGTGTGTGTATTTGATTCTATTTGGGCTTTGGCATTCCTGGTAATCTCTGTCTAGGTTCTGAGGATTTCGAGCTGATTTAGATTCTCTGAGTTGGTCAAACTCACAGATGCTGAGAATCAAAGGGCTTCACGTTGGATGCATCAGTGTGTGCACATTCTGGGAATAAAATCTTCTCTTTCATCAATCCAAGAAAGGAGTGACACTTGACACTTTTATTTCTCAAACCTCTCTCTCTCTCCCTCTCCTTTTCTCTCCCCCCTCTCTCTAAGACTGAGAGAATGGAGAGGATAGGACTCATGATTTCCATCATTCTTCCTCAGATTTTAATAATGACAAAAATAACATTATTAAATCTCAGCCTGGTAGCACACACCTTTAATCCCACAACTCAGGAGGCAGAGGTAGGTGAATCTCTGTGAGTTCAAAACCAGCCTGGTGTACAGAGTGAATTCCAAGACAGGGTCAGCCAGGGCTACACAGAGAAACTCTGTCTTGAAAACAACCAACCAGGTGTGGTGGCACATACTTTTGGTCCCAGCTCTTGGGAGGCAGAAGCAGTTGGATCTCTGAGTTTGAGAACAGCTTAGTCTTCAAAGTAAGTTCCAGGACAGCCAGAGCTGTTACACCAAGAAACAGTGTCTCAAAAAACTGGAAAAAAAAAAAAAAAAAAAAAAAAAAAAAAAGAAAGAAAGAAAAAAAAAGAAAAAGATGAGAGAGAGAGAAAAACAAGGCAAAAGAAAATAAACAAAACAAAAGCCCCCACATTAGTATTAAATGATAATATAATTGAATCATCAGTTAGCTTGGGGTGGTAAACTCAGTGGGAAAAGCTTGCTTGGTATGTGTGAGCCCTTTCATTCAATCATTAGCACTAAGGGTGGAGAGGAAAAAAACTAAGTAAGCCCTGTCAACCAGAATCTCTAGACCTCTTATTAATAGATTCTACCTGTTCTCAAAAGAGAAACAGTGCAGATAGGTGTCTGCCTCCTAGAATTAGCTTCGTCCCTTCCAGCTGCCCCTTCTCAGGCTCTGTCTTCTTCCCAAAGTCCTGTGTTCATTTTATTCTATGGCAAAGCCTTGTGACCCTCGGGCTGGCTTAAAACTCACTATGTGATCAAGGATGACCTTGAACTTTCGATATCCTACATCTTCCTCCTAAGTACTAAGATATAGGCAAACACTGGGTTTGTGAGTGCTGAGGATGGAATCAAAGCTTTGTGCAAGCTATGCAAGTGCTCTACCAACTGAGCCACACATGGCTGGCCACCCAAGAGTTGCTTTGCTTCTTTTGTTCTCTGAAGGTTTGTTGAAACAAGTCACAGCACCAGCCCACCATCCCTTCCATGAAAAAAAAAATGTCCCTAAAGTATGGTCCCACCTGGTCTCGTCCTGCCACACCAGGACTGGGCACTCACACTCATTTGCAGGACAGCAGCTGGTCACACTTGCTCCTCCATCAGGCTCACCAGGCTCCGATAGACTCCCTGCCCTGAGCACTGGGAATCTGCTTCCCATCTCCTAGAGCAGCGGTTCAAAACCTGCAGGTTCTGACCCTTTTGCGGGGTCACCTAAGACCATCAGAAAACAGATATTTGTGTTATGATTCATAACTAGCAAAACTAGTTATGAAGTAGCAACAAAAATGATGTTGTGGTTGGGGTCACCACAACATAAGGAATTGTATTAAAGGGTCTCAGCATTGGGAAGGTTGAGAAGCTCCCATCTAGAGGAGAGGGTTCAGTTGATTTGCTTTTGTGGCTGGCACTAGTCAATCTGCTGAGAGCCAGCTGTGAATCAGGCACACTCTGTCTTTCTGTCTGCCTGTCTTTCTGTCTCTGTCTCCCTCTCTCTGTCTCTCTCCTGCCTGTGTTCACCCCAGACTCCCCAGTGTCTTACTTTCACAGGAACCCTTCCATGGCTGTGCTATATTATCTGGCTTTCCCAAAGCCACACACACACACACACACACACACACACACACACACACACACAGTGGGAATGAGACACTTTCAAAGTACCTTTATATATACTTTTATTTGATCTCTACAATAATCATCAGTTATAGCTATTTTACACATTTCAGAGTAATTCCTAAAGCACAGGTATTGTGAGTGCCCCCAGCTTGAGGGAATGTACACTAGGATACCTTAAATGTCTCACATGTACTCATACACAAAAGTGAAAACAGAGCCAGGCCTGGAGCTCCTGAATCCAAATCCCTTCCATTTTTCCAACTCTGATTTTCGCTCTGCGCACGTTACTTCTTGTGCGACTCCTCCATTGCTCAGTTCAATGGGGAAAAGTGTAGCGTCCTCAGGCAGTATGGCAGCCTGTGGAAAGATGGTCTGTGCATGCTGGCCTTCTAGCTCCTCTCCATGAATGCAGCATCAGGCTTTCTATGTCTGCAGCTGGTCATTTTCCCAGGAAGTTTGTCCATTCCAATGAGCAGGCCTATCTGTCACAGGAGTTGAGATAAACTGTGGGACAGGGGAAACAGAAGGCGTTGAGAGACACCAGAAAAGGAGAAGAAAGAAGGCGCAGAGCACAGGGAAATGACTCATGGGGGGGGGGGTGGGAGGGCTTGCAGATGAGAGATAGGGGGCTGGAGAGGGAGGCCCTACTGGGGCTTTTTGTTCTGAGGGGCCAGAAGGGGCATCCACTCTTCCTGCTGAATCAGCTTTACTGGCAAAAGGCCACCAGGCCCCCACCATTCCCCAGAATAGATGACCAGCATGATTTTCTTTCTGTGACAAAGAGATACTCCTGGATGATGTTCCAGAAGTCTCTGGCCAATGAACAGTGGAGACTTTGTTCATTTTTGCAGCCCAGTTATTTCTGAGTGGCCGCCAACGTGAGCTCTTGACTAGTGACTGGGGCAGAAAGGGAAGGTTGTCTGCATTGTGCACCTAGGGGTTTGGCAGAAGGGAAACTTGGAATAGTTGATGCTGGCAAACCACTGGGCTTTTATTTCGTCTTCTTGCCCCGTAGTTTTCATCTTAATCTTTTTCTTTGGTTGGTTTGGGGAGGCTGGCTGGCTGATTAACTGGTTTTGGATTTCTTTGGTTGTTTTCGAGAGAGGGTTGCAAATAGGCTGTCCTCTTCCAACCCTCTGTATAGTTGAGGAGGACCTCTTAAGTACTGGGGTTACAGGCATGCATGCTATACCTGGCTTTGATTTGTTGTTGTGGTGGTGTGTTTTTTGTGTTGTGTTGTGTTGTGTTGTTTGTTTGAGATAGGCTCTATGTAGCCCAGTTGGGCCTCAGAGTTGAGATTCTGCTGCTTCAGCCTCCCTAGTGCTGGGTTACAAAGCACATATCACCATGTTTGGCTTGCCCTTCAGCTATGAATTTGTCATACAGTGAATGTGGACCACATTAACACTAAAAGGTGGAGAGCGAGTGTCAGCGGGGAAAACCCAGCATCTGTTTATTGATCTCTTCTGCTTGGGTCTCCTATAAGACTGTATGTGTATGTGTGTGTGAGAGAGAGAGGGAGAGAGAGAAAGAGAGGCAGAGAGACAGAGAGAGAGACACACAGAGAGAGAGAATGTAGTGTGTGTGTGAGAGAATGTAGTGTGCATGTGAGAGAGAAAAAGAGAGAATGTAGATTGTGTGTGAGACAGAGAGAAAGAGAGGTAAAGAGAGAGAATGTAGTATGTGTGTGACAGAGAGAATGTAGTGTGTGTGTGAGAGAGAAAATGTAGTGTGTGTGTGTGTATGTGAGAGAATGTAATGTGTGTGTGTGTGTGACAGAGAGAGAGAGAATGTAGTGTGTGTGTATGAAAGAGAATGTAGTGTGTGTGAGTGTGACAGAGAGAGAGAGGGAGAGAATGTATTATGTGTGTGCATGAGAGAGAGAATGTAGTGTGTGTGTGTCTGTGAAACAGAGAGAGAGAGAATGTAGTGTGTGTGTGTGCGCATGTTCATGTGCTTGTGGACTTTCGGAAATGGTAGATCTGATTCTCACTGAATGTTCTACCCTGTGTAGGAAGCAAAGGGCTCTCCTGTGTGCTCATGACATAAACATTCCTATGATGAACTTTGGACAACCCCAGAAGGGCTTCAGTGTCTAAGCCTTACACTGAGGCATGCATTTTGGTAGGCAAAGGAAGAACAAAGTTCATTTTCTTGTGTATAGAAGAACCTGAAAATTGTTCTGCTCTGATAGTAACAGAGCAGCGTGGAGCAACTGTAACAAAGCCCTGGGTTCTCCTCCTTCCTCTGTTAGATTAGAGCCCGCTGGGAAATGTGCAGAGTCATGAGAATGTGGCCACAGGCAGTGAAAGAGCGCCCAGCTGGACTGGAGGCAGTGTGCCTGTGTGGGGGCAGGGAGGGAGCTCAGTGACAAAGCGGCCTTGGAAACTCACAGAGTACCAAACCAGAGTGGAACCCTGTGGAGTAAAGCCCCTCCATTGTCTCCCTCCCCACCCCCCTCCTCAGAGCTCTTTCCCACAATCCTTTCCCACTAGTACTTAACTCACTTAAAAGCACAGGATGCACAAGGGGTCCGCAGGGGCTGGGAAGTGAGGGTTATGCTCGGGCTGTCTTTTGGAAAACAGTTGTTCCCCCGGCTCTCCCCACTCTTTTCTTGTCTGTCTCTATTTTTAATTTGTATTTTTTATCTTATTTTCTTGTGTGTGTGTGTGTGTGTGTGTGTGTGTGTGTGTGTGTGTGTGTGTGAATAAATGCATGTATGTGGTGTGCCTGTGTGTGGTGTGCATGTATGTGGTGTGTGTGCATGCCTCTGTGTGTGTGTGGTGTGAGTGTGTGCATGTGTGTAGTATGCACGCATGCCTCTGTGTGTGTGTATGTGTGTGTGGTGTGCACCTGTATCTTACAATGCCCATGTAGACACGAGGACTTCAGATGTGAGATCTTTCCTTCTGACATACAGATCCCAGGGATCAAACTCAGGTCATCAGGTTTGCTGACAAGCCTTCTTGCCTCCTGAGCCCTGGCGTTAGCCCCTCTCTTCTTTCTTTTTTGTGATAAAGCACGTTGAGTCCAGGAACTTATTAATGTATGCTAGGCAAGTGCTACCACTGAGCCACATCCCACTACCGACTGTAATGATAATCATTATTATTTTAAATTTTGAGACAGAGTCTTGTTAAGTTGTCCAGACTGGCCTTAATTTCATCCTCCTGCCTCCACCTCTCATGTAGCTGGACCACAGGCTTGCACACCACTCCCTTCCTTCTTTCTCTGGAAAATGAAGTCAAAGCTTATGTTCATGGGAAGACACGTAGTTTAGGGAGGAAGTTGTGAAAGATGTCATCCTTGTAGCATATCCTGCCTAATGTACAACTTCAAAATATCTTTCAGCACCTGAAATACCAACTATTGATCAGGCATATTCAAAAATCAGCACTAGTATCACTGTAGAGTGGACTACTGTGCCAGGGGCCACGAGTTACTTGCTCACAGCTGAAGATGGGGACACAGTCATCGAGACCACTGTGGCCAGTTCCCCAGGCACTGTGACAGGCCTGAAGGCTGCAACCTTGTATCAAATCACCATCAGATCCATCAGTGCCTCTGGACGAAGCCAGGCATCATCTCCAAAGCAGGCAAAGACAGGTAGATAACTTGGATGCCCACGCTGATGAGTATTTCCTTGTGACTTAGATCAATTTTAACAACACTGCAAATGTGTTGTGTGGTTTTTGCACACATGAGTTCAACAATGCAAGGCCCAGAGGAAAAAGCCACTAATTTTTGTTTGTTTGTTTTTGTTATTGCAACTGGGCAAATTGTGGAGAAAGTGACACTCAGATGCCTAGTACTTTGCTTTGAAATTTAAAACCCATTTCTGGGTAGCTTTAAAAGTAGAACGCCTTTAAATCCCTGAACAATCATTTCTGTTATTACCCATGCCAAATAGGGAATGCATAGAACAGATTTTGCATCACAATAAGCACATAGCAGATACATTAACAAATTAAAGTTTTGGGATTTGCCATCAGAATTCAATTCACTTCATAAAGTCACACCGGGGCATATATCTGAAAAGCTATGTGCAGGGACTAGTATGTAGTTCAGTGGTAGAGTGCTGGCCTAACATGTACAAGGCTGAGTTCACTCTCAGCATTGAAAAAGTAATTTGCACACTAAAACAGTATAAACATTTTCCTTATTTAAGTATATGGATACTTTAACTTCTCATCAACTGCAAGTTGAAAATATTGCCTTGTGTTTTCTAGATTTTTTTCTCAGATTTTTTTGAGACAGGGTAGCTTAACCCAGCCTCAAACTCAAAGCAATTCTCCTGCCTCAGCTTCCTGAGTGCTGGGATTAATTATGAGTGTGCATCAGCTACTCCTGGCTTGAGTTTCCACATTTCCTGCCACATCATTTATTATTAATATACATTTCAGTAGCTTTTCTAAAATCATATTGTAGAAAGAGCCCAGGACCTCTATCATGTAAGACAAGCACTCCACCACCAAGATACAGCCTTACCTCCAATTAGCAATTACTAAACGGAACTCTGCCATTATAATAATAATATGGGAAATCAACCTGCATTCACTTATTCCTCAATAACTTGAATTATTCTTTACAGAGTTTTATAACACATATTCACTGTTTCGTTTTGGTTTTACTAACAGTGTTGGCTGCACCAGTTTTGAAAGTTGGCTCTCCAAGTCCAGACTCCATCCTTGTGAGATGGGATGCCGTATATATGGCAATTGGCTTCTCTGTGTCTGTTATGAGAGCCAATGGCTTGGGGAGAATTTGGAAAGAGAATACTACGAACACCTCCTTGACCTTCAGCAGCTTAGAGTCTGGGACTCTGTACACTATCAAGGCCTATGCATGGAATGCCAATGGAATCCCTGGGGATGACTCCACCTGCAACCTGAGAACCAGTAAGGACTCCTCAGCTCAGCCTTGAGCAATCTCAGTTTTGATTAATGAGGGGGCTGGGTACTGCAGCCGTGGAGAGCAATGCTAAGTGATGAGTAGGGAGCAGCTGGTAACAGCTGTTTAAATTTATTATGAGGTTATTTATAGTGCCTTGACTATTCCTCCGCAGCAGTTCAAAGGCTCACTGAGTGATGTGGAGCACAGTGCCTCCCCCTCTGATAGCCAAATCCACTGCAGTGAGCACATTCCAGATCACAGAAGGAAAGGGCTCTTGTTAGGTTGACCAATCCTTCCTTGTGCCTTCCTGGTCTTGTTGGATCAACTAAAACACCCCTTGCTTTTTCCCCTCCTGTGTTCAAGCCCACAGTTTAAACAAAAAAGAACTGAGGCAAACAGGAATTCAATCCTTCAAACGGACATTTAGTGAGTGTGTGCCAACCTGAAGCCAGCCCCGATCCAGTGACAGTCACAGAAAGAGTTCCCGCTGTTCCTGTGTCTGACATGAGCCTGCATTTCAGATACGGTTTCCCAACATTTCTGCACGAGGCTGAAGCTGATGCGGGGCTGCCCACCACCCCTTCTCTAGCTGTGGACTGCCCAGTAGGAGTGTAATGTGTTCTCTCAGCATTCCATTCCAGGAACATGGGGTGGGGGTGCGCCTAAGCGTGAAAACCGGAAGTTCAAATTCAGCTGCCAGAGTGAAACTAACGAATTGGAGGGAGCTAGAGAGCAAGCAAGCAAGCAAGCCTGTTCGTGTGTGTGTGTGTGTGTGTGTGTGTGTGTGTGTGTGTGTGTGTGTGTGTGTGTGTTAAATGCAAGACCTTCATCAACTTAACCAGAGTAGCTACTTTATCTCTTACGGGTGGACTTTGGAATGGGAGTCTCTTTATTTAGGAGCCAGGCGGAATTAGGGGAGAAGAAAGAGTTTGCCTTAGGTAATAGTCTATAGTGAAAGGATGGCGAACAGCCCCAAGGTGATTCACGCTTGACTTGGTGCATCAGGGTATTTGTGACAATGTGACAAACCAGCCTTCCTGGGAATTTTAGTTGCCTGCCTGCCCTGGCCCTTCTCTCCCTTTCTTCTCATCTCTTCTCCCCTCCCCCACTTCACTTCTCTTTCCTCATCCTTTTCTTCCTGCGAACATTTAGCTGCTGGGAGTACAAGATGAAAGGAAGCAATTCCTGCTTCCCAAGAACTAACCCTGTCCAAAGATGCATGACTCAGTCATTATCGTCATTCATAATGGAGAACTTTGCTAGAGTGTACACGGGCCCAGTGTGTGTAGGAAGAAGCATCTACACCAGGGCATGGGAACAGACAGTCACCTGCTTTCTTTTTGAATAATATTTTTATTAGTTTTTGAGAATTTTTGTTTTGTTTTTCAAGCCAGGGTTTCTCTGTGTAACCATCTTGGCAGTCTCGGTTTTCCTTCCTGCCTCTGCCTCCTGAGTGCTGGGATTAAAGGTGTGTGCCGCACTGCTCCGTTAGTTTTTGAGAATTTTATACATATACTTTGATATTCGCCCCTACTGCTCCCGTAACTCCTCCCAGCCCCATCTCCCCCCCATCCCCAACTTTGTGTCCTTTTTTTCTAATGTGTATAGATATTTTGCCTGCATGTATATCTCTACACCATATGCATTTCTGTAGCCTAAGACTAGGAGAGAGTGTCAGATCACCTGGGACTGAAATACAGACACCTGTGAGCCATCATACAGCTGTTGGGAGTCTTCACCCCACCCCCATCTTCTGGAAGAACAGCAAGTGCTCTTAATCACTGAGCCCTCTCTCCAGCCAACCCTCCCCTTAAAAATTAATCCAGCACAGCTGGGCAGTAGTGGCACATGCCTTTAGTCCCAGCATTTGGAGGCAGAGGCAAGTGGATCTGGATGAGTTCAAGCTAGCCTGGTCCACAAAGCTACACAGAGAAATCCTGACTCGAAAACTCAAAAAAGAAAAAAAAGGAAAGAACGAAAGAAAAAGAAAAAAAAAAAAAAATCCAGCAAGGCCTGGAGAGATGGTTCAGTGGTTAAGTAGTTCCAAAGGACCCAGATTCAATTCCCAGCACCCACATGGTTCCAGGGGATCTAATACCTTCATATAGATATACATGCAGGCAAAACACCAATGCGTGTGAAACAAGTCCAGCAAGTCCAATTTGTGCTGCCCATATGCTCTTGGGTGTGGCGTCATTGGAGTTTGTAGACCTACCAGGGGCCACGCCCTTAAATTAATTGCCTTGTGCTACTCCAGAAGCCACCAACTGTCAAAGTCTCCTCAGTGAGTGACCAAGTGTAGAGAGGATGTGATCCATGGAAGTCATCCACAGAGTGTTCTAAGGGTCACTAAAATGTCATTGCAACACAGATCCCCCAGGAGAACTGAGGCCAACAGCCTTTCTTCATAAGCACATGCCCTCCAGTTTGTTTGTTTGTTTAAAAGTAGTTTTCTAGACCTTCTGCATGTGTGTGTTTCATGCCTCAGCACACATGTGGAAGTCAGAGGACAGCTCTCGGGTGTCAGCTGTCCCCTTCCATCATGTGGATTCTGAACTCAGGTTGTCAGGCTTGACAGCAAGCACCTTCACAGCTGAGCCATCTGGCTGGCCCAGTCCTCCAGGTTTGTAAATGGTTTAACAATGAAGACATTGAGGCATGTTTGTAAGAATGGGAGGATATTTGGGGGGCACTAAAAGCCTACCTTCATGTGTGAACTTATATTTGAGTCTCCCTATCCTTTGAAATAGAATGGGACATTTGCTTATCTAGAAGTGATTGTGAGCTACAAGCCAAGAGTAAAAGTCACTGGAGGTTAAAAATGAAAATATGGGGGCTTGAGGATGGGGATTGAATCTTGTGTCCCCCATCCCACCCCACCCCCGTGCTTGGTAAGTACTTTATTACTGAGCTGCTTTCTCAGCCTAAGAAGGGGTACGTTTAGCTACATGGGTCAATAATAGAGAAACATTTGCCCTACCATGTGACAACATACTTATATGACCCTCTCCATCTTTCACATGCATAAGCTCCTTTTGTTCTTGTTTGGTTGCTCTCTGAGTCAAAGTAGCACAGGTCAGTGTGAACTTCTAATGTCCCTTCTTCAGGATCCCAAGGGCTGAAATTATACCACCATCTCAGGCCTCTCCAATGCCATTCTTCACTGCTTGCTAAGTAGTATATTCATGCATTCAAAGAATACTTTTAAATGGCAGCTGTGTGAGTTAAATACTGCTCTTGTATCAATTTTCACAAACAAAAAGATGAAATAATGTGACAAAGCTTGCATAGCTAATAACGAGTTTGCACAGTAACGGCCATTATGTTACTAACTCCCATATACACTAAGTCCCAATTTCATTCTTTGAACAACTTGACGTTATCCCAGCTACTAAGGTCTCAGTCTCCTCCTGGCCTCAGTATTATGAGGCTTAATCTTACATAGGTTCTTGTTTCTCAAAAATATAGGTCCCCGTGCCCCTGCCAACGTTGAAGTCTTCTTTGACAGCGGGGCCCTGAAGGCGTCTGTTTCATGGACGCCAACAGAAGGAGCGTTCGCCTACACCGTGATGGCGTCCAGCGATTCTTCCCACCGCAGCTGCAGCACAGCACTCAGCTCCTGTAGCATTGGCTCTCTGCAGTGTGGAACAGAGTACCTGATTTCTGTCTCAGCCAGTAATGATGCTGGGTCCAGCAGGTCCTCTGCAGTGACCCTAAAGACTGGTATGTGAAAAAGCAGGACAGCCCTGCAGGGCTGGTGACCACAGTGGCTGCCATAAGGGGAAAAGAAATACCCAGCATGGTTCTAGAATATTCCGGAGGTAGTGAGAAACAATGCCTGACCTAAGATGGACATATATCTGTAATCCTCACAGGCTGAGGCAGGAGGACGGCCATGAGTTTGATGCCAGCGTGGGCAACGTACTGAGTTCCAAACCAGCTGGGGCTATGTAGCAAGCCTTTGTCTGAAGGAAAGAAAAGAGAAGCTTTGGAGATGGCTTAGTGGGTAAAGGTGTCTGCTGCACAAACCTGAGTTCAAACCAGGCACTGGAACAGAGGCCAAGTCCACAGTCTGCCCTCCACCTTCATGCTCCTGCGCCCTCCCCCACCACATTACACACACACAATGGAGTAATAGTAATAATAATAAAACATTCTCTAGAAAAGAGTAGGGAAAAGAAAGCTAACCCTGGCCTGAAAGAAAGTATTAAGCTAGGGACTTCATTGAGTGAATGATGCCAGCAAAGAAGCATGTGTCATTCATTGCAAAGAAGATTCCTATCACTATCCACAGGCTTTTATTTTACTTTTTGAGACAAGGTCTCACAATGTTGCCCAGGCTGGTCTTGAACTCCCGGGCTCAAGAGAGTCTCTTACACCAACTGGGGCTGAGGTGGTCATCACTATAACTTCTTGCTGTTTTTAAAGATTTGAAAATTCTAAGGTCCACTCTGTTATTTACAGTTCTTCATAGTATAAGAAAGTGTTTACTCATGTGTGTAAATGTGTGTTGCATACACGTAAATATGAGGAAGCTTACAGTCATGTGTGCACCCACAGAGGCCAGAGCAGGCCATCAGGTATCTTCCCCTGTCAGTCCCCTGTCACTCTTGCTCTCTTGCCTTGGCAAAGACTCAACCATCACTCACTGAACCAGAAGGTACCTGTGTGGCCAGTGAGTCTGGTAGATCTGCCTGTCTCCATCCACAGATGCTGGGATCACATACATGTGCAGCCATACTCAGCTTTATGTGATTCTAGGGATTCAAACTCGGGTCCTCATGGCAGAAGAGAGTACCCTGGCCCACTGAGCTATCTCCCCAGCCCCTAGCTATCTCTTCTTGATACGTTTCATGACTAAGGCGTGGTAGGAGTTATTTTAAAAAACTAAGGTGGGCCAGTCATTGGTGGCACAAGCCATTAGTCCCAGTACTTGGGAGGCAGAGGCAGGCAGATCTCCATGAGTTCTAGGCCAGCCTGGTCTACAGAGCTAGTTCCAGGACAGGCTCCAAAGCCACAGAGAAATCCTGTCTCAAAAAACCAAAAAAAAAAAAACCCCAAAAAAACCAACAACAAAAACAAAAACAAAGAAACAAACAAAAAACAAACTAAGGTAGGAGATTTCTAGTTCTAAATGTGTCTCAGTATTTCCCTGAATTTATTATATATAAAGATATATAGATGGAGGTTTGCTGCTCCATCTAGAGCATCTATGTGTCTAGGGAGTTGGAACTAACATTTAGTGGGATCTACTGCATCTCAGGCACCATAATCACACTATTTAACTTCTAGAATAATTTTGTGAGATGCTGCTTCTTTTTATTGTTGTCTAATGAAGCTCAAGTTGGCTTTGGTAGCTGAGTCTGGCCTTGCACTCCTGATCCTCCAGCTTTCATCTCCCAAGAGCTTCTGTCATAGGCACGCACCATCAGGTCTGGCTTATCTCTTCCTTTTAGATACAAAAATGGAAGCTCTGAAACACTAAAGGCTATTTCTTCTGGTGCACACTGATAATAAGACGAGCAGCTGAGATCTCTGCTCACACTTGCCTGATAGCGATCCTCTGGGATGAGGACAATGTAACAATGTCCACTCTAGTTAACTGTCAGAACTATGTCTAAGGTGAAGAGGACTGTGAACATCCCTCTCACCAAGCTGATATTCTGTCTTCCACAAGGGGAAAACACAGTCAAACCCTCAGACCCACAGCTCCTTAGAGTTATGTTGAGGTCACCAACACACGCTCGGTGATTAGACTTTTCTTTTGACAATTATAAGTTTGTGTAGCAGGTACAATAAAAGTGATTCTGAAGACAGAGTGGCTGAGGGCAAAGGGAAAGATAAACACTTCAAAGACATAGACATTTGTGTAATGCAGGAAAGAACCATCTTGTGTTTTTAAATTCAAATGCACAGCAAAAGCATCTCGGGAACATTCTTAAGATCTAAAAAACCCAGGTACCACCAAGGTCAATTAAATCGGGATTTCTGGGAATAGAGTCCAATAGAATAGTTTTTAAAAGCTTCCCAATTGATTTTTAACCTGTTGTCAGTTTTCAGTGCTACCAAAAGAGCCTTTCCAACTTTCAACTCCTGTCCTTATTGGTTCAGGAGTTACCACTGTAGTCTGTGTATGACACACGCAGTCAGTACTGATCATGAGAAAACCTTGATTTACCCATAAAACTATATTTAGAAAGGATTATTTTTTCCCAGGGCCCAGAAATGGGGACTCTATTTTAGGAGGACTCACATTAGAGATGACAAAACTTTTGAAAGCTTATGGGTTGAATGGATGACCTTGGTTTGAAGTCATTCTTTCAGAAGATGCCAGTCTATGCTGATCTTAGATAAAAGAACTATTGCCTTGACACAAAACATGAGCAACATTAGCCAAGGTGTTCATGTCTGTGGAAGAGAGAGTGTAGCATCTATGGCATGAAATAAGATATGAGGGCGTTTGAGCAGATCTCCTTGGTTTACACCGAGTTGTGCTTACCATTTGATTTGGTACTGTCTGAGCATCTAGCACTCTACCTACCTGCTTGGGATGCGCTCTGGGGATGGACTAGGCTGGAGAATGTGGTTCTGTCACTGAGTGCATAGAAGGCTGCAATTAGAACTTCCCACTCTATAAAGGCTTTGTATGAAGTCCCCAGAAAGACCCAGTTACCCGTGTGTCTTAAGTCACTGCTCTGTTTCTGTGAAGAGACACTATCACCATGGCAACTCTTAAAAAGAAAAGCATTAACTGGGGACTGGCTTATAGTTTCAGAGCTTAGTCCATTATCATCATGGCAGGGAACTTGGTGGCACACATGTCACTATAACAGTGCCTAAGAACTGCGCCCTGATTCACAGGCCACTGGAGGAGAGAGAAGTGGGCCTGGCAAGGGCTTTTGAAACCTCAAAGTCCACCCACAGTGGCATACTTCTTCTTCCAACCCTTCCCAAATGTGCCACTCCCTGATGACTAACCACTCAAACATGAACATAGAGGGGGCTCTTATTCAAACCACCACACCTTGCCTTTCTAGCTATATTATCTGGGGCAACTCAGTTACCCTATGTGGGCTTCGTTTTACTCAATTATAAAATGATAACTATTGTGAGAGTAAAAGAAAGTGTCAGCAAAAAAACATGAGTATATTTTTATCTTGAAAAGGATAATTTACATTATTTATTTATTGTTTGGCTTACATCAAATAGACTTCATCTCTGAATAAAGTCAAAATCTCCCCATAAATATTTTAAAAATGAAAATCTATACTTTTTTTCCTCAGGGTCTCTATGTAGTCCTGGCTGTCCTGGAACTCACTCTGTAGAACAGGCTGGCTTCAAACTCACAGATATCCTCCTGCCTCTGCCTCCCAAATGTTGGGATTAACAGCATACACCACCATACCAGACAAAATCCACATATCTTAAATTGGCTCTCAAACTCCCATGGTCTATGCTGTGGATGCAGGATGGTTGGTAAAGTGTTTGCCTGGCATGCACAAAGCCCTGGGTCTGGTCTCCAGGCACATGAAAAAAGCTGATGTGGAGGTACACACTGGTAATCCAAGTACCTTGGAGGTGTGGTCTGGAGGATCTGAAGTTCAAGGTCATCCTTGGATATCTAGTAAGTTTTAGTGAAGCCTGGAATAATAAGACCCCATTTCAAAAAAATAAATTCTTCCAATGGCCTATTATTTGAAACAACATTTGTCATAATGAAAGAATTTGGAGAGATCATTGGTGTTTAGCATAGACTTTTTTTCTATAAAAATGTCTTCTAATGTTTCTGGTTCATGGTTCTGCATCAAATTCAATGTTACAAAACTCAGAGTTTGCTGACTTGGGTTGTCCTGGCATCTCAGATAACTAACTGCCAAGACACAAAGCCACATGAATGCTTCCTTTTGATTGTTTCCCAGTGGCTTGTGCACCTGCAAGAGTGACAATCCAAGAAGACCCCCCTGGTCACTTGTCTGTGGCTTGGTCTAATGTAGAGCTGGGTGACTACTATGTGGCTTTCGTGAAGAGTGACGACGGTCTGGAAGCTCACTGCAACACCTCCCTCACTCAGTGCCGCTTCTCCGCTGAGTGTGGCTTCACGTACTTCGTTAGTGTATTTGCCTACAATGAAGCAGGGCAGAGCCCCCTGGGGGATGCGTTCAATTACACCACAGGTAAGTCACAGTTGCTGCCAGGGAAGGGGGCTCTGTAGACTCTGCAGCAGGGTGAACAACCTCTTGTGCATACCCATTCCCCATCTGGGAGTCATTCTAGGTTTAAGCATAGCTATTAAATCTCTTGTCTCCCATCCTTTCTAGAGTAGGGACGAACTGGTTTTGGAGAGCCAGTGTAACATGAATGAGTGCAGGGGTGAGGAGAGAGAGTACCCTGAAAAGCTGAAGCTTCCACAAAGTTCTGACTCAAACCTCAGGCCTGTTTGAGGTTCTGGGGGGGATACAGTCCCTCCACTTCAGGGTCACAGTCCTTCCCTGGACATGACAGACACAGTGGCCAAGGCGCTACGTGATATGGAGGGCGTTGGAGTAGGACACCTGAGAATAAGGCCAAACTTGACTCTCTAACTCACTCTTACAGTAAGACAATGACATTGCCTCTCCACTCCCTCAGCACCCTTCCCTCAGCACCCTTCCCTCAGCAAAATGGGACAATAACAACACAGGTGGGGAAAGGCCTCTGTGTGTGATAAAGCAGAACGTAAACGTATGTATTAGCATCATTTAGGACCATTATTAGCATCTGTTATCTTGGTTACCATTGCTGTCATCCCGGTCCTCTGGGCTTGGATCACACATGGGGCATGGACTATGGTTTATTTGCTTCTCTGTCATCAGGGCTAATCTTAGCGCTATTAGCAAAGGAGATACTAGATCTTTAGAGAATGGTTGAGTGGGAGCCTTGAAATGAATTATTTATAGAATATTATCATTATAATATATTCTAAGGGCGGATTATGGCAAATTCTACCAGGAAGAGGGATCTGAATAATTGGTGCTTCGGGAATTTAGAAGAGGCTGCCAACAAGCACAGGAGTGGCCTCAAACCGGAGTTCAAGAATGGATGGAATGCACATGGGAAAGAACCCCGGAGAGATCTCAAGCTGAGCTAAATATATGTCAGTAGGGTGCTTCCGGTCTCTTGTAAGAGTTACTAGGGCAATCCTTATCTCTACACACTTTTCCAGGCGGAAGAGATCGGGTTTTCTAGCAGAGAGGTCAAAAGTCTTCTAGACAAAGAATTGAGAGCAAAGGTTGGGTGTAGACCTGAAAGGTCTGGTGTGCTCTTGGGTGTCACGCCGAGAATTTGCCCCAGGTGCAAGGGGAATGAGGTCCAGGTTGGAACTGATCAGTCCTGTTGCAGTCATTTAGGAGGGCAGTGGCAGAGGGTCTGGCCAAAGGGAGGTCGAGACTCAATATCCCCCTCTGGTTGCAATGCCCTTCTACTGACCCTGGTTCCCTCTGGGCTCCGCCTTTCAGCTCCTTGTTGTCCTAATGACATTAGCGCAGTGTTGGTGTCCAGTGACAGAGTGGAAATAGCCTGGTCTCCTGTGCGTGGTGCTGAACTCTATGAAACCAAGGCCGTAGCTGGGTACAGTGTGATGGAGTGCAACGACACTGCTCCTGCTTGTACCCTCTCTGCTTTGGATTGTGACACCAAGTACAACATCACAGTGTATTCCTTCAGCGAGGTCCGGGGCAGCAATCTGTCATGCTCCTCCCACTCCATCACCACGGGTATGGTACTGCTATGCTGTCATTTTCTGATGTCTAAATCATCACCCTCCCTGTGTGTCTCAGGATGGCTATTCAGCAAGACCTACATAAAAGGGGGCTGGAGAGGTGGCTCAGTTGTTAGAGTACTGCTTACTACTTCCACGGAGGATATAAGGTCTGTTCCTAGCACCCACATTAGGAGGCTCACAGCTTCACTGGCAACTCCAGATCCAGTGATCTGATGCCCTCTTCTGGCCTCGGTGGGTACTGCATTCATGAGACGACACACGTATTATTGAATTGAAGAGAGGCAGAGAAGAAAACGGAAAGAGAAAAGAAAGGCAGGAAGGTTTGGACAGAGATTACTGACCTCAGCCATTGAGTTCCTGGTGTCACTGGAGAATGCCTTCTCTCCATGAGGTGCGCAGATGTTTGTCCTGGTTATTTTGGATTTTGAAGTTCAAAATGTTTTATTTTCCATTTGTCCCAAAACTGCAGGAACCTAATACCCTTTGCCAATGTCAACGTTTCTCTGAAAAAAGGTTCTGTGAATTTGACCTATACGCATGTATGATTGAACACTGTAGTTTGAGTTTTTGAAAGAATATTTTTTTTTCACAATTTCAAACATGCATAATGTGTTTTAACATTCATCATTTTCATCTTTTACCTCTGCCCCCACCGGATGATCTTTGTTAGAAACAAACAAACAAACAAACCCACTTTTTTTTTGATAGGGTCTCTTAACTTAGGGCGGCCCTAAACTCACAGCAATCCTGCTGCAGTTTAAAAGCACCGGGATTACAGGCATAAGCCACCGCACCTGGTTCCATTTCTATGTATTCTTTCTTTTATGAAGTGGGTCTCATATAGCCCAGACTCAATGTGCAACCAAGGATGAACCTGACCTTCTCCTGACCCTCCTGCCTCTACCTCCCAAATGCTGGGATTCAAGGTGTGCTTGCCAGGGACCAAACCCAGGGCTTAGTATGTGTTAAGCAAGTCCTCTGGCAACTGAGCCACATCCCTAGCCCTGATGGTCTTTTTGTGGAGGGTAGGGGTGGGGCAGGGAGAGGAATCCATTTTAGACCAAATGGCACGTGTGATATTTTTGACTCTGGTGTTTAATTGAATAATCTAACACTTCTTAGCTCCCTGCAGTCCTGAGATAAAAAATATTTCCAAGGATGCATTCTCCACGATTAATGTGCACTGGCAATCTGCTAATGAAGGCGCCACTTACACAGTGACTGTCCAGGGGAAGAAGGGCACGTTCCAGTGTAGCAGCACAGGGGAGAGGTGCATGATTGGGGGCCTGCCCTGTGGCTCCATGTTCTCTGTCACCGCTGTGGCCGAAACTCGAGTGGGAAAGAGCCTGCCCAGCTACAGCGTGCCCCTGGAGACAGGTATGTAGCAACATTGACTAAGCAGATCCTTAGGACTTGCTCTAGGACACAAATTTTATTAATTTAATTTATTTTAAAATTATCAATAATTAATAAGATAATTATAATTAATAAATGATTAAATTTATTAATGAAAACATTTAATCTTCCGTAAGTATGATGGAAATACAGTGCTTGGTGGCTTTCAAAGAGTCCCAGTCTTAGAGGAAAAAGGAAACTTTTGTCATTTTGCACATTTTGTAAGCATATCTTCAGCATTCTCTTTGTCTTGCCTGACATTTACATCCAAGGAAAAATATGCTTACCCTGCAGAAACCTTCCTTAGAATTTATATTATCCCAAATGACAGTCAAAACAGTTAATGAGGGAGCTGGAGAGATGGCTCAGTGGTTAAGAACACTGGCTCTTCTTCCAAAGGACCCAGGTTCAATTCCTAGCATCCACATGGCAGCTCACAACTGTCTGCAATCCTACCTCCAGGAGATCCAACAGCCTTGCACAGACATACATGCAGGCAAAATATCATTGTACATAAAACAAACAAATCATTTTATTTAAAAAAAAAGCTAACAAGAAACTAAGTGAGCTGATTTATTATTTGTATCTAGTTGATTCCTTTCAAATTTTTCTCTAAAAATCATGTTCTAAATTTAGTTGACAGAGTGGTTCAAAAGCATTTACTGCTCTTGCAGAGGACTTGAGTTTAGTTCCAGGCACCCATATCAGGGTAACTCTAGCTTCAGTAACTCTAGCTTCAGTACCCAGCACCCGTTTCTTGCCTCCATAGGCAACTATACTCATGTGCATGTACGCACAAACACACAAAATTAAAAATAAAATATTTAAAAAGTGTTCTGAGTTTAGTTTCCTAAACAATAAGAGGCAAGTAATAGTAATAGACATGTTTTCCCCTGAGACAGGGTTTCTTTGTGTAACCCTGGCTGTCCTGGAACTTGCTCTGTAGACTAGACTGGCTTTGAAATTGGTGATTCACCGGCTAGAATTAAAGGCCAACATTGTCTAGAACTAAGCTAACTATGTTGCAAATCACTTATCATGGTGCCTGGTGCATAATAATATCTCCATGACAGGAAGCCATTATTGATTGAGACCACTGTATTTGGAAAACATTTATTAGACAGACTTGATGAGAGACACATTTAATTCCAGCTCCAAGGAGGCAGAAGCAAGTGAATTTCTATGAGTTTAACCTGGTTTAAATAGTGAGTTCCAGACCAGTCAAGGGCTACACAATAAGATCTTACCTTTTTTTTTTTTTTTGTTTTTTTTTTGTTTTTTGTTTTTTGTTTTTTGAGACAAGGTTTCTCGGTGGTTTTGGAGTTTTGGAGGCTATCCTGGAACTCACTCTGTGGCCTTGAACTCACAGAGATCTGCCTGCCTCTGCCTCCCGAGTGCTGGGACTAAAGGCTGCACCACTACCGCCCAGATGAAGACCTTTTTGTAATGCTTCCCCAAAAGACATCTAACAAAGTACTTCCATTAATATGGATATCATTAGCATTGGTAGAATGCTTGCCTAGCATGTGAGAACCCCTGGGGTGGATTCCAAGCACCACATAAACCTGTGTGATGGTGTACTCCTGTAATCCTAGCATTCAAGGAGCTGGAGGAAGGTAGACTAGAAGGTAGGTTTAAGGTCAGCCAGGCAGTGGTGGTGGTATACCTATTCTAGGGTGCTATATTCTTGGAGAAAATATTCACTATATATTGTTGATACTACAAGATGTATCAAATGGTAAGAACAAAGGAAATTTTTCTTTCTTTTCTTTTTCTTTCTTTTTTTCTTTTTAAGACAGGGTTTCTTTGTATAGCCCTGGCTGTCCTAGAACTAGCTCTGTAGACCAGGCTGGCCCTGAACTCACAGAGATCCACCTGCCTCTGCCTCCTGAGTGCTGGCATCATTAAAGGTGTGTACCACCCAGTGAAAATTTTTATTAAAAAGAGAAAGCATGAGAAACTTGGGAGTTTGAATGAAACATGAGCAAAGTGCCCTTCTTTGTATTATTTATTTATTAGTGTGTGTGTGTGTGTGTGTGTGTGTGTGTGTGTGTATATATATATATATATATAATTGGGGAGGATGTGTGTGGAGGTCAGAGGGCTCTGGAGGACCTTCTCTGCTTCTACTGTGAGTTCCCAGGGATTGAACTCTGGTTGTCTGCTTTCTCTTCAAGAGCTTTACCCAAAGTGCAGCCTCAAAATCCCATTATTGATTATCTTCTACAAGTAATCTGTGGAATAAAAAGCAAAATTATTTTATTTTTTCCACTTTAGTGCCGTGCTGTCCAGCTGGTGTGACAGTGGCTCAGGTCACCCAGTCCATAATCAATGTGAGTTGGACTATGGGGACAGTGGCTCAAACCTATGTGACAGTGCTGGAGTCACACATCGGACAGTCTAAGTGCCACACCAATCAAAACCACTGCCTTCTGGGATGCACTGCATGCGGCATCAACTACACAGTGGCACTAAAGGCCATTAGCCCCACTGGACTGACTGCAGAGTGTGCCTACCAAAGTTATTCCTCCAGTAAGTGAATTCTAAACTCTAGTGCTTGAGGATTGTGTCTCAATTACTGTTCTGTTGCTGTCACTTAATCACCATTCTATTGCTGTGAAGACACAATATGACCAAGGCAACACTTTTTTTTTTTTTGTTTATGTTTTGTTTTGTTTCTTTTTTTTCAAGACATGGTTTCCTCTGTGTAGCCATGGCTGACCTGGAACTTGCACTGTAGACCAGACTGGCCTTGAACTCAGAGATCTGCCTGCCTCTGCCTCCCTAGTGTGTGTGCCACTACTGCCCAGCCCAAGACAACTCAATAGAATAGAAAGCATTTAATTGGGGGCTTGCTTACAGTTTTAGAGAGTTAGTTTGTAGTCTGTGATCATCATGGAGAGAAGTAGACAGCCATGGCGCTGGAGCAGTAACTAGAGCTTTACATTCTGATCCAAAGGCACGAGCTTGTGAAACCTGAAAGTCACCCCCTGTGACATACCTCTTCCAAAAAGGTCACACCTCCTAATCCTCCCAAAACAGTTCCATCAATTGGGGACCAAACATTCAAATATAGGAGGCCAGAGCAGGTCATTATCATTGAAACTATCACAATTGCTAAGGATTCCATGACCCCTAGTCTAGGCCCAATCCATTCTTCCCATTTAAAAAAAAAATGGTGCAGGGCTGGAGAGGTGGCTCAGAGGTTAAGAGTAGTGGCTGCTCTTCCAGAGGTCCTGGGTTCAAATCCCAGCACCCACATGGCAGCTCACAACTGTCTATAATCCAGCTCAGAATGATTTGACACCCTTATTCTGACAAATGCAGGCAAAACACCAGTGTACATAAAATAAAAACAAATAAATAATTTTAAAAAAAGAAGAAGATGGTGCATCTCTACCCAGCTTTCTTCAAATTTGGATTGCTTTCTTAGTGTGTGTGCAGTGGGGAAAAGTTGATGTTGTCAGTCATTCTCAATCGCTTGTCACCTTATTTGTTGAGGTAACTTCTCTCACCAGGTCTGAAACTCGCTGGTTTAGTTAGATTGGCTGGACACCAAGTACCAGGGATGGTCCTGTCTATGCCTCCCCAGTACTGGGATTATAGGCACCTGCCATCCAGAGCATAGTTTTTATATGAATGCTGGAGATCAAACTCATGCACGTGTGGCAGACATAGCCATCTCCCCAGCCCTATTCATGCAGAGCATTTTCTGTTGTGTGTATAGTTCCGTTGACTTGGAATTTCAATGCTTAGAGGTTTCTCTCAGTGGTTGGTGCATTGCTTCCCTGGTTAAAAGTCTGGGCTAAAGGGATGATGGCTTTTTTGTTTTGTTTTCTTTGTTTGTTTGTTTAATGTGGCTGATCTCTATGATGAAGGGTAATTCAGCCTGGCAGGGTTGCTAGAAAGTGGTAGAGTATATATTCCACCTAGCAGGCATTGCTGTCACACTGTGTTCTCTCTCTCTCCTGAACCATTGCAGCCTTCTGTTGTTTATCATTTTAACAGGCTGGAAAGGAGAAAAGGCTTCTTTCCACAAATGCCAAGCCATTCGGGCATAACAGGAAGAAACAGCAAACAGAGCAGGGCTAGCAAAGACGCCCTCTTATGTAATTCTAACCTGCTGAGGCAGCTGCTTGGAGGGCTGTTTTGAAAAAACTCCAGAGACTGCTTCCAGGCAAGAGGAGAAATTGCATGGTGGTTATTAGTTATCTCTTCCTGGGCCTGGGGCAGTGGGGTTGAAATATAATTTTGGCTTCTAAGAGACAGTAGGGAATATCTTAACTGGGTGCTCAAATTAAAAATGGGTTTTTACAATCCAGTTTGCCTTTAATCCAGTTTGCCTTTATTTTCCACGATTCTAGTTCCTTTTAGGTAAGAAAAAAATAAGGGTAACAGCATCTCCCTAGCCTCCCCTTGAAAGCATCCACAATGTTCTGTATGAGTGTGAGCTGGTTTATACCTCCTTTTGGCCATCACTTTCTATTGCGGTTAAATAAGGATCAGGATAAACAAATAGGCCAAATAGATGTTTATTCAGGGAGAAATAACTTACAACCTAGACAGATGAACACCAGCAAGTTCCACTGGATGCTCTCCTGTCCAAGTCCTGCCAGCAAGAGAGCATTCCCTGGCTCTTCCTCCGACCTCCTTCCACAGGTCACTTCTGCCCATGGCTCCACCCCCCCCAAATGGGCGTGGTCAGTGCCACAGAAGGAGACAAAGTAAATATCCCACTACAATTCCCCTTTTAGTCTAAAGAAAAGATTTAGGCTTAATACAAAACTATATACAAAACAGTGAATAACAAGTGTGCTCTAAGAAAAGGAAAATCGAGAACAAAACGACCTACATATCTAGTCCTAGGGTGAGGGCATAATGGAGTTTACAATAGAGTGTCCTAAGCTGGAAAACGTAAGTCTAGTACCTAATATATCTAACTAGGAAGAGAGAATAATAGTTGTGATAGTTTAATCTTCAACCTCATCAAGACCTGAGAAGGAAAATAATGATACTAGGGTAGACAGGAAGTGCGGATGGGCAACTTAGAAAAGGTGCAGCAAGGACAGAAACAGCAAGCTACCTGGACAGTCACCCTAGGTCTCACAGCCACGTTGGTACATCCAGATTTGGCTAAGGCCAAGAGAACTCGACAGACCACAACAACAGCAGGGAGGTAGAATGGCTGTCTTACCCTGACTTGGCAAGGTCCAGCAGTCTTCTATATTTGTCTCCTGCACGCACATAGGACTGCATGTCCAAATCAGTGGTCAAGGTGGGGGCAATTCTTTGCCCAACAGGCCATTAGCTGAGGCGAGATTGAACTCCAGCAGGAGCAACAACAGGGTCCAACATATTTTCGGGAAAGTGCACGGTGCTGTCAGGAGCAACAGTGTCTCATGTCAACGGAGTACTAATATTAAAACATTTAAATGCCATGTTCTGCATGTCTATGAAGTGATTGAAGATTAAGCATCTATATCTGACTAATCTCATAGGTACAGGAAACATGAGTGAAGATAATCTGTAATACTCAGGAACTTAGCTAAAAAACTGATTAAAACTTCCCTGAGCAAAGCAGGAACAAATACCTAAACAATATAACTATGTACATATACATACATATAAATCCCTAAAATAGAGGTTTTAGACAAGAGGTAGAACTATAAAGGCAGCATGATAAATATCCCAAATTGTATCAATATACAAAATGTCTTGAATACAAGAAAAGTATACATACATAGAATATGGTAAAAAATAATGTGCATTATACATCATAAGTGGAAAGATTTCACACAATATAACAAAATATAAACTTAATTTTACATATCTTACTACATATAAGAAGGTATATTAGTTTTCTTGTTGCTTTGACAAAATATCTGATAAAAATCCAGGTGCTGGTGGTGGCTCACACCTTTAATACCAGCTCTCAGGAGGCAGAGGCAGGTGGATCTCTAAGCTTGAGGCTAGCCTGGTCTACAAAGTGAGTTCCAGGACAGCCAGGGCTACACAGATAAACACTGTTTAGAAAAATGAAAAAAAATCTGAACAACTTAAGGGGCTGGAGTGATGGTTCAAAAGTTAAGACCCCCCCCCACTGCTCTTCCAGAGGACCCGAGCTGAGTTCCCAGCACCCACGTTGAGCAAACTCCAGGTTTGCTCTTCCATCCAGCCTCTGTAGGTGTTGCAGTCAGACGCCGCGCGCGCACGCGCGCACACACACACACACACACACACACACACAGAGTTAAAAAGGAAGGAATAAACCATGAACTCACTTTTAAAAATATGGCAGGAAGGGTTGCTCTCAGTTCACAGTTGATGGTGAGGAATCCGTGGCGGCAGGAAGGACCTGGTCACATTGTCTGAAGGCAGGAATGGGATAGGTGGTGCCTGTGCTCTGCTGGCTCCTCCTTTGTTAACGCTGTCCAGGCTCCTGGCTGATGGATTGGTACAGCCCACACTTAGGGTGGGTCTTCCCATCTTCCCACCTCCTACAACATAGTCCAGACAATCTCTTACAGACATTTCCAGAAGCTAACCATCTAGATAATCCCTCATAGGCATGCCTGTAGGCTTGTCTCCTCGGTGATTCTAGAGCCTGTCAAGTTGACAGTGTGAACTGTCACATCCGGCTCCTGATCCTGGCATCCCAGCACTCAGGAAGTGAGACAAAGAGGTTCACCAGATAGCCATGATTTCAAAGCCAGCCTGGACTACATAGCGAATGAGACCCTGTCTCAAACTGCCTCCCAAATAATCAGCCAGTCAAACCATCAATCATGCTGGGCATAGTGGCCTACATGGAGAATCCCAGCACTTGAAAGACTGAGGGTGGAAGACGAATTTAGGGGCTAGCCTGAGCTACATATCAATACCCAGTCTCAAGTGAATGAACACACACACACACACACACACACATAGAGAGAGGGGGGGCTGGGGAAGAATGCACAAAGCAAATGTGCTTCACTCTCCTTTACAATTTCAAAAGTTTATTCAATATAATCTTTATTTTAGTTGGCACTCCACCATCTGATGCCCTGATTGATACCTAACATGCCGCCCACTCAAAATATCTGGGGAACAGAACCACAGAATACCTAATCAGTTAGCACAGATGAAGCTCAGACCAGCCAACTTGCTCACTGGTCTGTCACAGAGGTGGCTGCTTCCAAGGTGCATTCCTGCTCACAGCTGCTAGGTAAACACAATGATGTATTCAAGTTTATTCCCACTAGAGTCGAATGAAACAGGGTACCATGCTGTATGTTGTTAGGGTTGTGTGCATTTGACTCTTCATTTGCATCTTAAGCAGTGCAGCATCTCTGCTGACTGTACACCTTGGATTCACCAGTGTTCTATACTTATAGCCCTTCCCCCTCCCCACATGGACTTCTGATCGTGTAGCTCGGCACCAGAAGAACACACTTCAAACCTTGCTTTGTTCTAACCAGAGTTTAGTTGTTCTATGCAGAGGACTCTACTGTAATAATTATAAATAAGGGTGTGCTCGTGTGATGATGAAATAAATAATTCTGGGCTTCTTTTTATCCTGTAGGTGCCTGCTGCCCACTGGGAGTCAAATTATATAGGCTGGGCCCTAATGGCATCCGGATCCACTGGCAAGCCTCCAGGGGCTCTGCCAATTATAGCACTGACCTCTACGGCTCCAAAGGCATCTTCACATGTGTCCCAAGTTCTGGCCTAAGTTTCTGTGATGTCACCGACATCCCCTGTGGGGACGTATACACTGTGATGGTCTCACCAGTTGCTGAAACAGGACTGAAGCTAACGTTCTGCCCAAAAAAGATATATTCAGGTAAACCCTTACTTTAAAGCCAACCTTTGAGCTGAAGTGTAGCTCAGTGGTGCTGTACTTGGCCTAGCATGCACAAGGCCCCAGCACCCAAAAGAAAAACACAAAAGGAAGATTAAAACTAACCCTTGGGCTGGTAGGAAGCTCAGGGGATACGCGAGGATGCTTGTTACTATGATAAACACCATGATCAAAGCAACTGAGGGGAGAAAAGGGTTTGCATGGCTTATAGGTCACACTCCATCATCAAGGGAAGCCAGGACAGAAACTCAAGCAGGAGTCGAGGCAAGAAACATGGAGGAAAGCTACTTACTGGCTTGCTCTCAGGTTCAGGTTCAACTACCTTTCTCCAGCAGCCCAGGTCCACCTGCCCAGGGATTGTCTGCCCTCAGTGGATTGGGCCCGCCTACATCAATCATCAAAAAAAGACAATTACTCACAGCCATGTACACAGGCCGCTCTGATGGAGAAAATTCCCCACAGAGACTGCTGCTTCCCAGGTGAATTAAATTATGTCATGCTGGCAATAAAAACTAACCCATAGAGGGGGTAAAAGTGCTTGCCAGACAAGCCTGATGACCTGGGTTCAATCCCTAGAGCCCACATTGTGTATTAGTCAGGGTTTCTATTGCTGTGATTTAACACAATGATCAAAACAACCTGTGGAGGAACAGGCTTTATTTGCTTGCACTTCTGTCTCAGTGGGAAATTAGGACGGGAGCTGAAGCAGAGCAGGAACCTGGAGGCAGCAGCTGATGCAGAGACCACCGAGGAGCACTGCTTACTGGCTTGCTCAGCCAGCTTTCTTACAAAACCCAGCTGAGGGCTGACCCCCCTCACAGTGACCCCGACCCTCCCACACCAGTCACTAATGAAGAAAATGCCCTACCGGCTTGCCTATAGCCGGTTCTGATGGAGGCATTTTTCAAATGAGCTTCCTCCCTTCTCAGATGACTCTAGCTTGTATCAAGTTGACAAAACTAGCCAGCACACCGTAGAGGGAGAGAAATGACACCTGCAAGTTGTCCTCCGACCTCGACATAAAATGGCTTGGTGTACACTCTCACATACACAAAATAAGCAAACCTGGAAAATATTAAAGCTAACTTTCAACTCAGACCTGTGAAGTAAGATGCAGGGCAATCCCACTTAATTGCTACGTGTAGATTGTCTGCAAGCTGCAGGAATGCCAACTTCTTTGGAATTGTGTTTTGTTATTTAATGTAGACCTGTGTGCCCCTCCCTGCCCATTGCTTGCCCTTCAGAAAAAAGACCAAACACTTAATATTTTCATAGTAAAGTGAATTAAAGTGATTGGAGTTTGGGGGACAGATTTTTAAACATAGTCTAGAGATGTCATTTCACAACTTGTTGTGTTGGACATTAAAAGACTTGAACTTTGCTGGACAATGGTGACGCACACCCCCAGCACTCGGAAGGCAGAGGCAGGCAGCTCTCTGTGAGTTCAAGATCAGCCTGGTCTACAGAGTGAGTTCCAGGACAGCTAGAGTTACACAGAGAAACCCTGTCTCAAAAAACCCAACCCAAAAAAAAAAAAAAAATCAGTTTTGAACTTTTATTTGCACAGATTGAGAATGAGGATGAAGGAAAAGTTTGAGGATCAAAGAAAAGGGAATTTATAAATCATGAATTAGGGCTGGAAATATGACAGACTGATCACAAACCAAGGCTGTCAGCCAGGCCATCTCACCAGAGCTGGCAGGAGACATTAGCAATTCTTTGTTCTGTGTTCCAGCACCTTCTGTTATCTTGCCCAGGGCACAGTCATATATTTTTCATGTACTTCTAAGAGAGAGAGAGAGAGAGAGAGAGAGAGAGAGAGAGAGAGAGAGAGAGAGGAGAGAGAGGAGAAAAGCAGTAATGAGGCCCTGAAATTTTGTAGTTGAACACAGGGGAAAAAAAAGATGGCTCATGAGCCTTTACTGATAAGTTGTCCTTCATTTTCTGATTCAATGTAAGTGACAAGAAGTTGAAGATGGCTTTTGGTGATAGGACATGGCCTTCTGAGTAGAGAGTTTATTCTCGGAGTACAGATGAGCCCTGTGGAAGACAAGCTCACCACTCAATACCAACATGCCAAGTTAGCTGGATATTTCACAATTTAACAAGTGTCCTCACATATCTGATTGAAGTAGATTCAGCAGACCTTACTGCCTCTGAGCTATAGATAAGGAAACTGAGACTCAACGGCTCCCAAGTCCTTTTCTCCAACAGCTCTCTCTCTGCAAGTCACTAAATTGTGTACAGGCTCAGTTATGTGTAGACACCGAAGGGTAAATGGGAGTACCCTTCCTAAAAGCACACTTGGAGGACATAGTTTGCCTCACTGCTCATTCACCCCAAACCAGTTCAGTCCAGGTCATCCTTTCCTTGATACATTTGGAATATTTTTTAATGGAAACTGTCCAAGTTTGGTTGTTCTTAGGAGAGGAAAAACCCATTCCATCGTCAGAGAGGGGTGTACGTGAGCTTGGTGCAAATGTGGGCCTGAGGTTGCTAGGTGCAAAGTTTGGAGAGGGGTGTGTGTGCACAATCTGCACAGGCAGCAGGCAAAGGAGCTAGCCTGCCAAGCGCATCACCAGAAGAGGGGACCACGTGTCCAGCCTGAACCTAGTAAAGTCCCAAGCTGCCAAACCATTCACTATGCTTGCCTACCTGAACATCGGCTTCCCTTATTTGAGTTTTTTCTTTATCTTTGGCCGACTTTCCATTTATTTGTTTGTTTGTTTATTTATTTATTGCAGTTCTGGAGATTAGACTCAGGGCTTTGTACCTGCTAAGCAAACACCATACTGCTGAGCTAGCACCCCACCCCTACCCCACCCCACCCCCACCCCACCCCCCGCACTGCCCCCCAGGCCTTCTCCTAGTTTTCTTTTAAAACTTTATTTTGAAACAAAGGCTTGCTAAATTGCCCATCCTGGCCTCAGCTGCCTCAGTAGCTCGGATTACAAGCGTGCCCCACCACGCCCAGCTCTTTTCTTCTGTTCTAAATGTATAGCGTTTCCATCTGAAATACATGAGTAGGGCTGGGAAGAGTGCTCAGTAGGTAAAGTGCCTTCCGTACAACGTTAAGGACCTGAGTTTGGATCCCTGGAAAGCTGAGCAGACAGCACACACTTGTAAACCCCAGTACTTGGTGGGGGGGCCTGTGATAAGCAGATCCCTGAGTTTACTAGCCAGCTGAACCAAATCGATGAGCTTCAGGTTAGTGAGAGACCCTGTCTCAAACACGAAGGGTGGAGAATACCAGAGAAAAACATCCCGAATCAGCCTCAGGCCTGCACTCATGCACACACCCCATAAATAATTGCATCAATGACTGTATTTTCAGTGCTTAATATATATATATATATATATATATATATATATATATATATATATATTTTTTTTTTTTTTTTTTTTTTTTTTTTTTTTTTACAGTTACCTGCTCTGGAAGTACACTTGGGATGGGTAAGTGATCCACTCCCCACACTGTGGATAGAGATAGGAGAGAATTTGTGATGCTGTGTTTTGTAGTTACTTAATGAAATTATGATCAAAGCTAATGCTATAATTACTAAGAATGCCAAGTGTTTCTTTGATGCAAGAGTGTCCTGCTCCCCCATAGCCTTTCCCTTGTTAGGATGCAGCCCTTCACATTGCACAAACCGAGATGAATTCCTTTAGATGTTGAAGTCTTTTTAGACTTCCAGAGTCCCAGAGAAAAATGGGAATGTGTTTTAGAGGGCAGCTGATTATCCCCCCTCCCCTCATACATACTTTAGAAGATGGTTCAGCCTTGCTGCACATTAAAATTCCTTGGAGACCTTAAATGTTGCTGGGGCTCTGGCCCCAGAAGATCTAGCATCATTGTTCTAAGATGAAGGCTGGGCGACCAGGTTTTTAAAAGCCCCTCTGATGATTTTAAAGGGAACCGAGGGCTGAGAACTGCTGATGTAAGCAGGGCGTCTCCATGCTGTGAGTAAAGCTCCCAGGTGCCCTATCAAAGGCACTTTGTGACTGGTAGGGGCAGAGGCCCCACACTGCTAATGAGGTGAGAGCTGAGCATGCTTTGAATATCACAGATGAGAGAATCAGCCCCTCCCTGTCTCGGAGTAAGTCATCTGACAGCCTCTGCAGGACTATGGAAATCATATCTAAGAAGACTTTATAGATTTTATCATTCTTTTCCATTAACATAGGACTGGTCAGATCAGGATCTTGGCTGCCTAGGGCTCCCTGACATGGATTCTGTTTGCTTAAGGCTTTTGGTGTTTCTGGATTCTTAGATTATCCTAAATTTTGTCAACCCCATGAGTTACCTTTTTGTTGAGGGGTCAGTCGGAGATACAGGGTCTCACTATGTAGCCTCAAGCCTGAAACTCCCTATATAGATCAGGCTGGCCTTAAACTCACAGCATTCTGCTTACCTCTGCCTCCCAAGTGCTGGAATTAAAGGTTTACATCACAATACTAGCTGAATTGACTGTCCAAGAGACAGTTTTGGATTCAAATCCTGTTGTCCTTATTTGCCCTTAGTCGAATTACATTCCCTAAGGCTAGTTTTCCACATTTGAAAACTGAAGTAATAGTCACTTCAAAAAACATAATAAGGGATAAATGAAATGTAATTAATTGGACACAGTGAGAGGCCTGGAGTAATTAGTAAGTGGTAGTTATTAATTCAGGATCAATTTCATCTCATAACTCTCTATTATGTTCTAAACATTAACATTTTAATGTGCCACTTCTAATGTAATTACATTTCTAACCTTAACACTTTGGTTTTCAAAGTATGAGTTTGTTTCCTGTTTGTTTCTGGTGTTTCCTGGTAAGCTTTTAGAAATGCTCTCTTGCCAATGGTGCACACCTTTAATCCCAGCACTTGGAGGCAGAGGCAGGTAGATCTCTATGAGTTCGAGGCCAGCCTGGTCTAAAGAAAGGAAGGAAGAAGAGAAAAGCGATCCTGGGGATTTGGACAATGATCTAGTAACTGGGAG